TCAATTATATGTTAGAAAATGACATAATTGAAAAGAGCAATAGCCCATGGAGTTCACCTGCTTTCATTGTTCCAAAATCAAATGGTGGACGTAGGCTAGTGGTTAATTATATCAAGGTGAATCGAGTAACAAAGACCGATTCTTATCCAATACCACGAATTGACGACTGCATTGACAAAATTGGAACTGCTAAATATGTCAGTAAATTTGATCTCCTCAAAGGATTCCTAGGGGTTCCATTAACTGAAAGAGCAAAACAGGTATCTGCCTTTGTTACTCCTGATGGTTTGTACCAATTTAAAGTTATGCCATTTGGTATGAAAAATGCACCTGCCACATTTCAAAGAATGATGAATGGCTTATTAGCAGATCTTAAAAACACTGGTGTCTACATCGATGATGTAATTGTGTATTCTGACACTTTTGATGAACATATGTGTTTGCTGCGTAAGTTGTTTGAAAGAATCTCTCTAGCCAACTTAACCATCAATTTAGCTAAGAGTGAATTTTGTAAAGCCACAGTTGAATATCTGGGCCATGTGGTAGGTCAAGGACAGGTCAAACCAGTGAGTGCCAAAGTGGAATCAATTACACAACTCCCAGCTCCTACTAACAAGAAAGAATTAATGAGAAGTCTTGGAATGGCTGGCTTTTATAGGAAGTTTTGTCCAAATTTCTCTTCAATTGCTCTTCCATTGACCAATTTACTTGGGAAAAACATCAAATATGTGTGGTCTGAGCAATGTCATACAGCCTTTGATAAAATCAAGGCCATACTAAGTGAAGAACCAGTGCTTGTTGCACCTGATTTTAGCAAGCCATTCAAGATCCAAGTAGATGCTTCTGATGTAGGAATGGGAGCTGTCCTATTACAAGAAAAGGATGGTATTGATCATCCAGTGTGTTATTATTCAAAGAAATTTGATAAACATCAGAAAAACTACTCCACCATAGAAAAGGAATGTCTAGCATTACTTCTGTCATTACAACATTTTGAAGTATATGTTAGTGCACCAGTTCATGCAGTTACTGTATTTACTGATCATAACCCGCTGACATTCCTTCATAGAATGAAGAACAAGAATCGTAGATTGTTGAGGTGGAGTCTGTTATTGTCAGAGTACAATCTTGACATAAGACATATCAAAGGCAAGGATAATTTAATTGCTGACACTCTTTCAAGAGTGTAATGTTTCTATTTTTAAGAGGCTATTTGATTTATACTGCATTTGCCTAAGGCTTTGTATTGATATAATAAAAAGATTGTACTTAGAGTGTGATTTGATAATATTATTGTAATATGTTTTTTTTGGGATTTTACTCAGTCTGTAACTATATAAATATAATTGTATTTGACTATTGTAAACAAATGTTATGTAAGTCTCAACCTCATCTTTAAAAAAATTGTAACCCTCGCTACACCAGATATTATTGTAAAAGTTTTTCATTGTATTCAAAACTTTTCTTTTAAGGAGGGAGGTGTTACAGTATTATATTATATTATATTCACATTAAGTTTATCAATATGCATATACTGTAACTGATCTTCATTAGAGATCTTAGGTCAAGTCAAGGTCACAATGACATTATATTGTGTATCTTGTAAACATAACTGAACTGAATGACTCATTAACTCTTGGCCTTCTAGAAAGTACTGGAACTGTAATCATTTAATCAAGATTGAATCATGTGACTTAAGATGTCCAATCAGTGTTATTTTCTAGAAAACGTAACTTCTTGAAGCATCTGGACTATGCCTTTGCACTATATAATGAGAGAGCTGATTTGGGCTGTCAGCAGAATTTCAAAGTTTATCAAAGGACATCTTCTTAGCAGAAAATTACAGACACCTACTTTGGGAACATTTATAACAGTGCAAACATACAACCTGAGGACTTTATATGGACATATATTATAACACACACTATATAGGGATTATCATATACATTCGTGGATTATCATAAACATTTGTGGATTATCATCAAACATTTGTGGATTATCATCAAACATTATTGGATACGAACATTATAGGATTACAACAAACATTATTGGATTATTACAAACATTGGAGCATTATTAACGATTATTGAAACGCTTCGTGATCTGGAACATTCTCAAGGATATTTATCGACATCAAGAGACAGGCGTATCATTTCTCTACATCTACGTATCATAAGTATTGACTTTTATATATTATTGTCATCGCATTTAGTTTTCAAAAATATATTACTGTACATTGTTATATTTTAATTGCTGTTTTTACTTTCTGTTATTTTCGAACGTAACAATTAATCATTTGAATCTTTTCATACTTTAAAATATAAATTGATTGAAAATTCGTTTAAAAAATAATAACGCGGGCGGCAATGCAACCTTTGAAAGTAATAAAATAACTACGTGTTAAGGTAACTTATAACTTAATCAAAAAATCCAAGATGGCCGAAACCAGGAAGCACATGGCATTTGAGTATAATCTGACCATCAAAATTAACTGTCTTTTGGTTGGATTTTCTCTCAATTTTTTTAGTTCCACTCATCATTTATATAACCAGGCTCACTGTGGTAATGCAAATAGAAACAGTAAACATTTTGGAATGGGAATTTGAGTCCTCTGAAAATGTGACAGAAAAATTGACAAAAAGAGTAGCACGGCAAAGGCCCCTGAACATTTTTTTTCTAATTTCTCTGAAACATCCCTTTAATATAGCCCAAAATGGAAGGAGCTTTAGAATTTTGAAATCTCTCATACAAATTTAAAAAAATAGAAAAAAACAATTTGAGAAGTGTACTTTTTTCCTTATTTTGATCCCAATTTTTTTATCGGGTAATTTTTCAAATTTCCGTTGCTCCTTCGTTTTTGATATATGTTTGAAGTATATTTTCTGAAATGTTCAGATATTTTGAATCAGCGGTTTTTCACGGGCTACTCCTAGAAAAAAATCTTCTAAAATTCTTTAAACGGCACTTTTTTTCTCAAACTAAAGTTTTTTGTTGTTCTTTGATGTCTTTGTAATGATTACCGTGCACACGCATATGTGAAAATTTCAAGATTGTGAAATTTTCAATTTTTTCTGAAAATGGATTAAGTTAACAGTCACCTTAAGATGAAAAGAAATGTTTACTGAAACTAGCTTCTAATTCAGGCTTTTCATATTTAAAGTGACTGAAAATTCGTTTTCAAAATGATCGTTTTCAAAAATGAAAACGCTTTTCATATTTAAAGTGACTGAAAATTCGTTTTCAAAAATGATAACGCAGTCGGCAGGATTCGAACCTGCGCGGGGAGACCCCAATAGATTTCTAGTCTATCGCCTTAACCACTCGGCCACGACTGCATATGATGAATATGATTAATAAATGAATTAATCATTTGAATGTTGTCTTTTCATATTTAAAGTGACTGAAAATTCGTTTTCAAAATGATCGTTTTCAAAAAATGATAACGCAGTCGGCAGGATTCGAACCTGCGCGGGGAGACCCCAATAGATTTCTAGTCTATCGCCTTAACCACTCGGCCACGACTGCATATGATGACCCGAAATATATGATTAATAAATGTATTAATCATTTGAATCTTTTCATATTCTAAAATAGAAATTGATTGAAAATTCGTTTTAAAATGATAACGCAGGCGGCAATGCAATCTTTAAAAAGTAATAAAAATAACTACGTGTTAAGAAGCTGAAAGGAATTGTTTAGTGAAACTAGCTTCTAATCCAGGCCTCAGGTAGACTCCTACCAAAGCGTTCATGAAAATGGCCATTTATAGACTAAAATATTTGACAAAATATCACCCCTGCTGGGACTCGAACCCAGAATCCCCGGTTTAGGAGACCGATGCCTTATCCATTAGGCCACAGGGGCGGCCGTGTGATGCTCTGTATTCATTTACTTATATTTTTTTTATTTTATCAATTGCCATATATTTGCTATATTTCTGACAATCGTATGGCCAATGGTTAATTGTCCTTATTCAGCCCATGAAGGCTGATAGGTCCTATGACCATAGCCAGGATTTACCAAGGGGGGGGGGGGTCATTTTTCAAAGATGTCCAGGGGGGTTCACATTTGACAAATTTGGCTAGAATCACTTGAGAAGTGCTCAAAATGGTGAAAACTGCATGATTTTGAAAGAATTTTTGGCCAGGGGGGGGGGGGGGGGGTCGCCCGAACCCTGCGAACCCCCCCCCCCCTGGATATGGGCCTGTAGGTCTAAGTGCTTTAATTAAACCCATTTACCATACTCGTTTCCCATTTTGATTTTTTTATGAACACATTATACCTTGGAAATCAAAAGATGCCCATGTACAGCCATAACTGCCATACTAGTAATTCAGCCATCTCTAATCCCAATCTATTGGTGATTATACAACATGTCCCGCAGTATCAATCAAAAACTAAGACTGTCCTGACGAGACACCCCAAGCCCCCAAAGGGTTACCATGCATTTTTAATTTTCAAGACTTAAGAATTATTTGATCGTATTTTAAATTCAATAGTTCATCTGAGACGATTTTGCTGATTCAAACTAGTAATACTGTTGCAAGTATTGTTAAATAGTAGGCTATTAAAGGCAAAATCTGATCTATAGGGGGTGACCAAATTACAAGCAACGTGTATAATTGACCAACCAATCTATTCCTTACAATATCAAATACAATATCTCCCAAAAGATTCACAATATGTTGTAAATTGGTAAAGTTATTAGTGATTCAAAGTGCAAAAATGGGTGAAAAATGTTTAAATTCTCCCAAATAATAAGAATGGTAACCATTCTTATAGAAAAATGATACATTATTGTAAAAATCTTTAGTTTTCCTGGAATAAAGTATGCACTTTTGTGATTTTTATAAAATAGACATGACAAGGAATGACATGAGCCAACAATATTCTTAAATTAAAACAATTTTTGTTAAGCCTGCTCGCTATATCTGATTCTATATATATATGATTCTCTCTTTAATTAACTCAAAAGTTATAAATAATATTTTGCTTTGCAGACGATCCCCGTGTTTCTGCGCAGTGCTATCAAGAAATTGCGCAAACCAGGTCAGAATGGAATGGCTGCGATTGGTCAATTATACGCGGAAGAAGAAAAAGACAACTGTTTGACACGCTTCTGGCATTGCTTGAAGGGGAGCTATGAATACAGGGATATGAAGATGAGGCGAAGTGTCGGGAGCGTGAACAGTGTCAGTAAAATTGATAAAGCATCAAGGATATTATTCCCAGGTGCATTCACAGTGATACAGCTCATTTATTGGTTCACATTTACAAAATGAGCATTGTGGGATATGTGAACCATGGGATCGCGAGCGGTTCCAGTATTAACAGGGTTTACAAGAGTGACATCTATTGTGACGTATTGTACTTGCACCCTTGCATTCTTACAAAGGAGGAACATGCCCGGGGATCATGCAGAACTAGCTTTTATACGATATTGATGTACTTCAAGACAGATTTGGGAATGATGGGTGGCTGCCTCTATTAGGAATTTTGTCTCGTTTAAGCTCAACAATGACTGGCTTGTATACTTTTCAAAGTGAATCCAGGCTATGTTAATATACTATATCTAGTGCTAAAAAGATGTAACTCTTTTATTGGATTCAGCATTAGTTAATTGAAGAACAATGTAGATTGAAAATATTCATTTATAAGGAAGGTGGGATGAGGAAATAGATTATAGAATAGTAGGCTATATGCCGAGCGATGTATTGCACTTTCAGATTGCACAACGACATATCTGTATTACGTATATGTATTGCATAAATACGTTTTTACAAATGAATTAATTTAACTTTGTGAGGAAAAAGCGGCTGTTGTCATCGTCCACCTGGCTGAGGGTTCCGATGGTCTGGTCCGCATTCTCACTAACGTACCTGCCGTTAGCTTTCACCTATAGTTAAAATGTAAAATAAAATATATTGAAATCTTCCAAAATGTTGTTCATCCGTGTTGCTATGTTATTCAAAGCCTAATACCATACCGATAGCGAGTGAACTGTAATGATGTGAGCTGCAATTTTTTAAAACTCAAAATTGGTCATAAGAAGGACAAGTGACATTGTTAGTTTTAGGGCAGATTAGGATTAACTTAAAGTTTCGTTTCCCAAATTGCTGCCTGCGTACAATATGAATATACAGAGCACATGCCATCCCCGCATGGCATGGTGTAAGGTTTGATATTACGTGTACTGCAGCTACTAGCAATAGATCCTATTTTGCTCAATTCACCAAAACGCGTATGATGTCTTGAAAAGGTCTCTTACCCTCTAGGCTGTATAATAAAGAATATCCTCACCCTGATTCTGTATGAACCGTCATCCGGCTGAAGCTCAAAGAAATATCGTGAATGATCATCTTCTGTCCCAAACCTTGTTGACAACAACTGATCACCAATACCGTGTTCGTGCACTAGCCCCCTCTCGTGTTCAACCTAAATTGGGTAATATTGGAGGACAATGTTATTCAGTTACAAGTAACAAGTATCCTTGGAAAACACCCAGATCGATTTGTTAAATTTCCAGTACATGTACATTCTATAGTACTATATTACCCGGGCTATTATTATATTATTTAGACATAATTTCACCCATTGAGAGACGCTACTATATCCAGAGGCGTGGATCTGTAAACTAATTAAACTAAACAAAGAAGGACCGCTTTAAAATTTTAGGTCCAGCATTTTTAGCCCCGGCATTCCTACTTTTAAAATAGTCCATCCTTTAATCCCAGGCAAAGGGACACAGAAATATTCTTTAAATAAAGATATCAGGGTAATCGTAACATAAAGACCGATAAAAATGTTACTAATGCTGCCATCTTTATATCGTACTGAAACCTGGGCAATCATCAAACTCACTCTGATTCTATAAGAGCCATCTTCGGTTCTATCAAACATGAAGACATTGTGAGCGTCGCCTCCCTGGAACACTGTGTTAATCAGTTTGGTACTCAAACCATCTTCGTGCCAATAGCGCTGTGTGCCCTTTGTCTGTATTCCCCATTTACCATGAAGTGGGTCCGGATCTGTAACATTTAAACAAGTGTTGCGAAAGGATGTTCCAGTGGACGTTATTTTTCTCCCATTTACAAAAGAGTTGAGCTGGCCGTACATGTACGTTGAAAAGTTTTCATATTTTTCATTTTTTCAGTGGCTAACATTCCAGGTTACTTTCGGCTATCAACGTGTTTTTGAAAATCATTTATCAGGTATTGATAGCTCGTAGTGTTTTGCAGCTGCCATTGATGATGGCAATAACTGCAGTTAAGGCCCTGCATTTATCAGGTATTTATAGCTATAGTGTTTTGCACCTGCCATTGATGATGGCAATAACTGCAGTTAAGGTCCTGCATTTATCAGGTATTTATAGCTATAGTGTTTTGCACCTGCCATTGATGATGGCAATAACTGCTGTTAAGGCCCTGCAGTAGAGCAATAGTAAACCCGAGCCCAAAAAATTGAGGCTAAAGTTGTACTTTCTCCAGTCATTCAGATCCAGGATATAGTTTTTTGAAGAGGGTTTGATAACTTACAAGGATTGAAGTATGTATCGGAGAGAACGGGCCAGTCGTCTGCGCTCCATGTCATCTCCATGGCAACGATACGAGCAGTTCCCGCCGCCATGTCCCTGTCATAGTAGTGATAAGTGAATATGTAGGTCGTAGTCGATCCATTGGTGTATTCCAACACCCCTGCGTGTCCAGGACCTGTGAAGGGTGAAAGTACAATGAAAACCCATCAACCTAAATTTGTTAGTACGTTTGAATGTCATAACCATGTTTGAGTTTGCGATTTATGTTCTGAATGTACACATTTTTTGTTATGCACATTTTCTTGCACATGAGAATACGTTTGGGAGTTACTTGTTATTAGGGAGGTTAAGATTAGCGTAAAAATATACGTGTACCTATCCTTATCCGTATGTTTGTTACGGATACGTATAGGTAATGCGTATTGCAAAATGAGTTTAAGATTAACGTAAAAGGCTACGAAACCGTATGCTACAATTTATGATAAAATTAACATCCTAATTATAGAATGAAAACCATGCGATGGCTTATATGGCGTATACGAGTACGCAATGAAAGTAACCAAATAGTAAAGTTAAACAATTAAAAACACGAGAAAATGGTTAATTTCATACATTTACAGTAATCAAAACTGATGAAGAATGTGTAAACTCAACAATTTCATGCATCATCACATGGCATCGTTTATCGCATCGATGAATGTGTTCGACCACTTAATTTCTATAAAACATACGTTTTCGAATTACCTATCTTCGGCCATTTATAGGTAATTACGTATCGTAAACCCTGTAACTTACATCTACACTACAGAGGCTACATAGTCAAAATATTTTGGTAAAGTTATGTTAATGCATTTGGACAATATATTTTTCATTTTTTTCTGACGTTGTGGAACTACCTTAACTTACTGTAATTCGACAATGCTGCCCAACATGGCGTTTCATGTCATTCGTTGATTGTAATGAATTCATTGAAATTAAAACGTACCTATGTGTCTCCCCTCAGTCTGCAGGAACTGCTTCCCAGCCCTGTCTTTCATATCTCTGCCAAGGTCGTCCAAGTAAGGTCCACTTGGGCTTCTGGACCTGCCCACACGGATGTTGTATGTGCTGGCGTGCCCCCTGCAGCAGCGGCCCCAGTTAACGAACAAGTAATACCTGCGTTGGAGGATGAGAAAATGATAGGTGGTTGGGATTTGCTCGGTGATATGGCCCAGGTAGAGATGTAAATGTACTAATAGGATTGACGGGATTCGGATATTTGGGTTTTTCATTATCACTCAAGAAGATAACTATATTGAGAATAATATAAAATTACTAAAAAAGACTTAGTACTAACCAGTTGTTATGTTTGGTGACAAAGGCTGACTCTATCTGACCGCCAAGATAGTCTCTGTGATCAGGCGTCACAATTCCATCCTCGCCGTCATGTTCTGCGGACGCTACCCGGATGTAGTTCGGGTTGTCACCGTCCCAACCGGGTTCATCAAGTGGGAACAGGTGACCCGTATGGTAGTCTAGTTCAAGCATCCATATTCCACTAAAATATAATTTCAGCGTACATGTAGCAGTTTCACACAAAAATGATAACCAGATGAAAGTGAATGTGCGAGCTTGAAAGGAGTAGCTTATACTTATGTCTCCATAGTTATTTATGAACTCCATCGGGATTTTTTGAACACCCCCTCCATAACTTTCGCAACTGGACGTCCCTTGTTGGATGACGTATCAAAAGCTATTTACGTTTGGTGAGTGTAATGTTGACAGGCTTTGACATGTTAGCCAATGGAAATTTCGGGTAGCCATGCAAACTTATGGAGGGGAGTGTAGACCTACCTATAATGTGACCCCCATATCAACCAAGTCCTGCCCTCGTAATCGTTAAAAGCAGCTGGGTCGATATTAAACGGTCCAATGTCGAGCTGAGCGTCCACACTTGTCGAGCAGATGACTTTACCGTCATCCACCCAGGTAGGAAAAGGTGGGTCGCCCTGTGCTACTGCGCGTCCAATACATGCTGAGCCATCGTCCAGGTCCCAGTCGGTTACACAGTAGTACATCACAGTCTCGTTCAACATCCCTGGATATATCCCATAATGCAAATTACAAGAGAGCAATTGTTAAATGAAGAAAAAATGAAGGGAACTGGAATAACAGGATTTCTATCGGTGAACCATGCAAGACTTACCAGGAGCAGTTCCTGGTTCTATAGGGTCTCCATTTAGCTTATCCCCAAGTTCATCATATATCCACCGGGGGAGGTTATCCCCTTTTAGTATGAAGCCATGTTTAGCGAATCCAAGACCTATATTCCATTTACCATTTACTGGATCTGTAATCGGTAATTGGGCATTTAAATCAAGCGTTTGTCATTCATAATTAGTATTGATTAACAAATGAGTTGGTGCATCGGACCATGCGTACAGGGTGATCCAAAAACAGTAACATCCAAATTTCTAAGACTGTAATATTGTATCAACCTAATTGTACATTTTTACCGTAATTTTGGACAGTTCTGTTTTTGGTGCGATTCTCAACGATTGCTAGTGATAAGTAATATACGACGTCGTCGTATTCTACTCACCAATGAATGTCTGTTCAAGTCCACTGTAATATACGATGAAGTAGGGTCCGTGTTTCACCATCCTTGCAGGGTCGTGACCTTCCTGCCCATCATCCAACTCATTACATGTCATCTCCCTGGCTATCACAATACAGTATTAACAAGGCAACGCCAATCCCCTGGGAGGATCCCCAAGAGGGGGTAGTGAGGTCACTTTATAGGGTTTCCGGACAACTCGGACCCAGGACAAGTCGGACCCTGGACAACTCGGACCCAAGACATCTCGGACCCAAGACATCTCGGACCCAAGACAACTCGGACCCAAGACAACTCGGACCACTTTTTAAAATAATGATTTTTATCATTGTCTAGGGGTTTTTAGTCTTTGTTTTATGTTTATTAAATATATTATACATTGTGAATACATATTTTGTACTAATTTGATTAAAATGTTTTAATTTGACTTATTTGATAAAGATTAAGTAGAAGCTATTGAAGCTATAAACCCAAGACAACTCGGACCACTTTCTGAAATGTTAGTTTTTGTAAGGTACTTTTTTTGTTTTAATGATATGGGATTATTTGTAAATGTTTAGCATGACATGGTTTAGATATATTGTGAATTCATATTTTGTGTTTACATGTAAAGATGAACAAGATGTTTCAATTAAATTATTTGATGAGAGTTGAGAATACAACTTGTTATATAGAGGTGTCAATGAGTCTTCATACAGTTAATACCAACTCATATAGAAAATCAATAAGGAATTAAAACAATAATAATTTTAATCCTAATCTCATTATCTCATTTACACTCACCACTGTGAAGTCATATTATTAATCTAACTGAAAGACCTATGTCACATAGAGATCAATGAAAGAGTTTGTGTTCTGTTAATCCTAAAGTTTTTTTGATAATTTAATCTTAATCTCACAGAAAGATTGAGGAATATGTTTGTATTCTGTAAATCCTCATTTTTATCATTTAATTAAGAAATATAGACTGAACATCAGTTGTTATATGGACGAATAAACCCGCAGAGCTAGGCATGAAAGTGTTCTGTACCCAAAATGGCCGAAGGGAGTGAGGGGTCCGAAAGCTGTCTAGCCCTAAAGGGTTTATTCGTCGATATAACACCTGATCTGATATTACGATCTGAACATGAAAACTCACCAAAATATTAAGTTGATTTAAAACAATTACATCAAATAACACCATATTTGAATTCAAAATATGTATAAAATGTCAGACTAAACATAAAATAAAAATTAAAAATAAAAACCATATCATGATAAAAATCATAATTCCAAAAAGTGGTCCGAGTTGTCTTGGATCTTTAGCTTCAATATTTTCTTCTTAATTCTCTCCAATTAAGTTCATTTTAAACAATTACATCAAATTAACACAATATTTGAATTCAAAATATATATAATATATCATACTAAACATAAAATAAAAAAATAAAAACCATATCATGATAAAAAATCATAATCTCAAAAAGTGGTCCGAGTTGTCTTGGGTCTTTAGCTTCAATATTTTCTTCTTAACTATCATCAAATAATAAGTTGATTTAAAACAGTTTCATCAAATTAACACAATAAATGAATGCAAAGTACATAATTTATGTCATCTAAACATAAAACAAAAATTATAAACCCATATTATGATGTTAATATCATCATTTCAAAAAGTGGTCCGAGTTGTCTTGGGTCCGAGTTGTCTTGGGTCCGAGATGTCTTGGGTCCGAGTTGTCCTGGGTCCGAGTTGTCCTGGGTCCGAGTTGTCCTGGGTCCGAGTTGTCCAGTTACCCTTTATAGTCACTTTTAAAATTCCAAAATTGTCACATTTAAATTTTACTTGTCATATTTTGTCAGCTTCATTCCTTTATTGTCAGTCAAAGCATTTAATGCGAACAATGGTCTGTTATGTTCCATTGTTTGGTAAAACTAAGTCATCTTTACTTGCATACATTTACATTCAGGATGAATTGTCTATTTCTGTCACTTTCAAAACCCTTGTCAGTCAGATAAATGTACAGAATTGTCACTTGCAAGGATTTATTTGTCACATTTGTTCATTTTTAAATAGCCAAGTCACATTTAGTCGCACTTTTAGAAGCCAGGTCACTTTGCCGTATATCCCCTGGGGAGCCCCACCCCCCAGGGAATATTATAACCAAAACTACTAGTATATCTAATTGTATATACTATTCACCAACAGAAAGAGGGTCTCCCTAGCTTAAAACAAAAACATATTCCCTTGGTCATGAGCGTCATAATGTCAACCAGTTTTCAAACTAGTTGATGCTCCATTAGTATCATGAAGAAGTGGGGCCCAATCACTGAGGACAATAATTTATATCACAACATGCAATTGATGCTTCAAATTGTTTAAACTCGCACATATTCAACTCAAAAGTTGTGCTTTAATATACTGCATGCTCTATATTCAAAAAATACATTTCTACTTACCATACACGTGCCCCACATAGCACAGCAGTACCAACAGTGTCAGACATCTTGACAACATTCTTGATGTTCCTGGCAGTGGAAAACCAAGACCTGGACCGAGTTGTGCCAAATGTGTACACTAGGTACTTGTTATTATAGTTTGGTCAAATATTGTTGATACATGTGCTTATCATAAGAACAGTTCTCATAACCTAGATTTTAATGTTGAATATCAATATACAGTGAAACCTTTGATTTTGAAAAAAAAAAATTAAAATTCCTTGTCAATGACTAACTCCCAACACCTTTTAAAATGTGAAGACTACAGTAAAACTTGTCTAATCCGAACGCCTCTTAGACCAGCCAAAAGTGTTCGGATTAACAGGTGTTCACATTTCAAGGTTTTATCAACATATAAGTCGATGGGATATTACAAATTTGGGACGGAGAAGTGTTCACATTGAGAGGTGTTCAGATATCCAGCTTTCACTGTAATTTGTTTTTGAAAGTAATTTAGTTGAAGTCCATTTATAATAGTAATTACTTTCCTCTGTATTGGATAAATAAATCAACATTTTGATGTTGATAAGTAACTGTCATTGCCCTTCTTGAGAGTTTGATATTTTGAAAAAAATAAGAGGTACTTATGAAGGCATAACACTCTGACTGCAATTCAGATTGGGTAGCGGGATTTTGATTGTTCTAATTTGATTGGCTGTGGCGAGATTATTATCTCTTGTTCAAAAAGTGTAGGTGAATCGTTCTATTAAAATCCACTGAAAAGGGTATTAGATGTTGGGAGATTTACATTTAAGTCTTAATTTTTCTATATCCGAGTATAATTTTTTATAGGATATACAACATATTTACAATCAAACATTATTTTGCTTCAAGAAATGATTTTCAATATGTAATTTTCCAAGGTAAATAGGATTTATTTGAGTGTCCCATTTTTTCCCACCCTGTAGTGCCCCATTACTTTCCGTTCATTTAAAAAATACATAACATATTTTACAAATATAACATATTACATTTATTTACATGAGTGAACATGTGTATTCTTGGTACTACACTACACAATACACATATGAAACATCTAAAACTTAATGTAAAACATAGTGGTACGAATAACCCCCTCTCCCCCAATGCAAACTGCATTTTATATGGAGGGGAAATACTGTCTCATCACTTGATTATCTTCAGATCAAAATATTCCATGATTTTCCAAGATGGATTTCATTTTTAACAATTTCATGAGTAAGTTATTATAACATGCATTATGATTTCATGTTGTGATGAATTGTCCATGTTAAATTTTCGATGAAAGCACCCAACTAATAATTCATATTTCAAAAATCTAGCTTCAGAAAATGGTTCCTGGGGTCCTGATGATAGTCCAAATTGATATTCCAGGTCATTATTCGAAGCAGAACCTAGGTGTGGTAATTCCAGACTACAGTTCAAGACAGAATGTGGAAGTTCCAAATAGGAACACTCTATGGGTAGAAGTTCCAGTAAAATACAAGACAGTGATGAGCCAGATGGTACAGCCCTCATCCTTGTAGTGGACGATCACTCACTGTTTCATATTTAAAATCTCAATTAACTAATAAATATACTGTCTAGTTTCATCTTTTCTTCTTTTGCTTTGCACCACTGGCTCCTGTATCAGCTTTCCTCTTTTGAGATGACTGAAAGCAAAAAAATGAAAAGTTCAAATACAGAAGGTCACATTTCCAAGTTTATACAGGTCGTTCAATAAGTTCATGGAAAAAGGCTCTCATTTAAAAGATTTTTAATCTTTTTTATGAATGTGTAAAAAATATTTTCCTATTGATTATTAACATTTATTTGTCAAAAATAATGGTTACTATGGTAACTTGACTTTTGGGTAGGCAGGGCAATAAGTAATACATGCTGTGAGCTGAAAACTCGAAAATGTTGGGTATTTCACAAAATATGCTATTCAACTTTCTTAATCAAGCAATCTTGATTCTTGTAAAGCATTTAATTGTACTATAGAGAAATAAATAGTGAAAGATTTTCTACCTTTGGAGTTCCTGCTCTTGGTCCACGTTTCTTCTTCTCTGCCCTCTCTCTTTCCTCAAGTTCCATGTTTTCTCTCTCAATCAGGGTGATCAATGTGTTACATCTACGCTGCAGCTCCTGAAAGATTGCATGATTAGGTTTTACTTTTAAATATTGGGTGACCATTGAAATCAGAACTTTGTGTCAGTCATAAAAGAAATAGTGTTCAATTGTTGATATTTGTGGAAATGGACTTAAGTTTCTTCATTTTGGTTCAACTCCTTCTATCCTATATAACAAAATGTGAAAATGTTGATTTAATTTTTACTTGAATAATCAAAAATTAACAATCTTAATTTTAGTCATTCATACATCATACAAGTTAGTTAAATAAAAAAAACATGAGGACATTTTTAAAATCTGAGAGGGGCCACTTCTCGTTCCACTTTAAACTTTAGACACAACAATATTAAGTAGCTCTGGTCTGTGTCTAAAAGGATTTAGCAGATACGACAACAATTTATTTAAAATCACTTACCATAGCTGTACGGGATTTGATGAACCAATCAAATCTGAACTGTGGAGCTTGGCGAACAGCCATCCGGAGTTCATCATAGACATTCTCCTTGTCAAAGCCCAGCTTGTGTAGCATACATACCAGGAATCTACAATAAAGAATAAAAGTTGGGGAAATACAATACTGACTTGACATAAATGAATGACAGCATCGATTTCTGAAGAGCTGTAAAAATAGTAAATGTATCACATTTTGGATTTTAGGAAGAAGCAGATAATTACAAGCTTTTTCAGACAGTTGGGGAAATGACTTGATATGTATGAATAACAGCATCAATTTTTAAAGAGCTGTTCAAATAGTTATCATAACCCATTTTGGATTTTAGGAATTTAGCTAAGAATGTGCTGGCAGATCCCAACTAGATTGTAAGCCACTTAAAGAGAGAATCAGATCTGGCGAGCAGCCAAACAAAAAATTGTTTCAATTTTAGAATATTTCTGGCTCATGTCATTCCTTTTCATATCTATTTTCTTTTTCACCCCATAGATCTGATTCTGCCTTTAAGTTGTAGTAAGTAAAAGCAACATGTTGAATATGACCAAGTGGACAGGTACTAACCAGATCTTAACATACCCTGAGCATTTGAGGATTCCATGGTTAATACCCTTGAAGTGGATAATATTGAGTCATTGACCATCCTTTAGTTTTCTAAATATTTGATGAGCCATATTTTCAATGCTGACTCCCAGAAGTGAAAGGATGTAATGAACTAAGACCAGTCATTAATGAAGTATGAAAAAATATCCCCAAATAATGCTTTTTGTAAATCCTTAATTTGACCATTTACCTGTCTTCTTCTTCTGTATAATTCTTGCCCTTATTTGTCCCGTATTGGATCCTTAACTGGTGGAACGGGGCACGATACCGTGCCATCTTTGCATCCATCGCCCTCTTGATGCCTATTCTACGCTGGATTTTAGTTTCACCACGCTCTATCTGCGCCATGATGCGCTCAATGTCTTGTAGCTCATTACAGCGTTCCCAGAAGATTGCAGAGTATTCGACCACCTGCAATAGTATGTGCATAATCAGAAAATGTTTTTATATTCACGGAGGGATTTTAGACCAATCATGTGAAGAGCAGGGTACATGTACACAGCCAATCTCAACAGAACCATACAGTACCGTTTTAGCTACAGTACTGTCTGCATGGTACAGTAAAATATGGCACCATATGGTACCGTAGACTACAAAAGTGGTGTACTGTAAACACAAAATGGCACCATACTCTTAATAGGTCAGCAGCTGAGCAAATTTAAAAAAATAAGTTTGTCCCCTAAGTTTCTCACTGGATTCATGTAGAGCAAGGTCTTGGGCTTATTTTGAGCTTGGGTTCTCTGCCCTAGCCCCGGCAACGAATGTGAAAACTGGTCCTATAGGTGGCGCCCCCTACAATTCACCCCCAAACTTAAAACTAATTATCATTTTCATAATTTAAACATAAAGACATCTCAAATAGCTTAAATTGATCAATGGTACATTAAATTATGCATTAAATTTTATTTCAATGTGTGAAAATCATAATTTATGGAGAAATAGTTGATTAGCCCCTTAAAACGCCCCTATTTTAAAGGGGGTACTTAAGTTAACTTCCGTAACTTTTGTGTTATTCCGGATTCTGGCTTAAAAATATTCCTGAATATGTATAATTATGCTGTTGAGAGACTGCAGTAACCCTATGTTCATAGCTTTATCACTTTTTGAGAAAAAAAATAAAACGTATTTCCATATAATTTGGTTTCATATTATTTTCAGATAAACCATCATCTATGCTTTTTAATTAACTTTCCACACCTTATACCCATGCATAGTATTGATAGTTTTCTTTCATTTTAGACCAATATAGATGACTGGAGTTCATAATAGTTCATAATAATAAATAATAAAATAAAATTTAAGCAGAAATAATTGATTTACCCCTTAAAATGCCCCATATTGGAAAGAGTGTGTGTGGGAGACTAAGGAAATATTTTTGAAATTCACATGCATTGAAAGTCATGATGTTTGGCAATGAATGTTTTAATTTGCTGGGGTTCATAATGGTGAGTTTAATATTAATAGCAAATGTAAACCATCCAACATTTCTGAATAAAAGCAAAATTATAATCGATTTTACACCATGAGACAACCCCAAACCTGATATATCTCCTAGCGACCATTAAGTCCATGTTTTCACCAAGATCCACAATCCAATAACTGAGTTTTAAATACTCTAGCATGCATTCCAAAAGGATGAACCAATGTATGGGCTCATATAATTAAAGATTCAATCTCTCCTTGCAGGTTACTTACTAACATGTAAAGTAATATCCCAGATGCGAGTAGAAATAATCTTGATTTACGTCATTAAAAATTCACAATTCAGTCAAACTAATGTCATATTTGGAATCTACATGTAAAATTACACTAAGAGATGTGGTTTTGAAAAGAGTTAATCAACTTTGAAAATTTAATTTTCTTTGAAAATGTGATTTCTAGGTCGGGGAGATTCCCCATAGACCCCATGTTGTAAAACCACGAAAAGTGAAAAATATTTTCTTGTGTTGGGCAGATAATATTTTCTTTTACTGGACATATTTTAGTTTGTATAACTATCAGATACATTAGGGTAATATGAAAAGTGAACCATTAAAACTGATGCATATTCAAGTTTAAGGGAATTTTGTAATACCCTGCCATGTTAATTCCTCCGAATCAGGCACCTGGTGGCGAAACTGGTACTCGCATCTGAGTAATTAAAACAATTACTACTTAACATATATTGTTTTTTGGATTGTGCTGTTACAATGACTGAATTGTACTGGCACAATCACATCAACACAATCAAGAGGTACATTTATTTCTCTTTGTTTGCTTCATCAAGTGATCTGAAGATGAGAAGTAATAATGTACATACAGGGTATTTCATATCTTTGCACCCCCCCCCCATAAACTCATACATCTAGCATTGCTACCCTGTCATTTTATGAATCATATCGAAAGTTACATAGGATTGCAAAGTTTCAGAATCAAGGTGTATCGCTGAAAAAAGATACATTGTATCAAAGATTGCGGGTACGGGGTCATTTAGAGGGCATTTCCTGGTGATTTTTGGACTCAGGCCGGTGATCTGTGCACTTTTTCTCATATCCATTTTTAATGATAGAGGTCGCACCAGGATCCCTGGCCTCTCCATAAGCCACTGCAAGAATCCTATCTATACATCTTTGCGCATAACTGTCACACTCATGTGCACTGAACTCTGCCATGATGACAACTGTTTGAAATTTGCAATAGAGAAACTCAATTTCCCCTTGGTGATAAGATCGCATGCCCTGGTTGCGCTTTAATAACCCTTATTGGTTCATCAATAGTCTAGGCAATAACCTAGTATATCCTGGTTGTGCTTTAAACATATGGTTCCTAATAGACCTTTGTGATTCCTCTGTATGCTTGGTTGTGCTTTGACTTCCCCCATTGGTTCATTAAATAGCCTTAGCAATTACCTACATGTAGTATGCCCTGGTTGTGGTTTAATACACCAAATTGGTTCCTTGGTAGTCTGGTTGTGCTTTAAACATATGTTTCCTAAAAGACCTTTGTGATGCTTGGTTGTGCTTAACTCCTATCAGGTTCATGAAATAACCTTAGCAATAACTGAGTATGGCTGATTGTGGTTTAATACCCCAAATTGGTTCCTTTTAAAGTGATAACCTAGTATGCCCTGATTGGCTCTGATTGAACTTTGATACCTGGTTCCGTAATAACACTAAGTGATTCCTCAGTTTGCTTAGTGATGCTTTAACAATCCCTATTGGTTTCTAAATCTGCCCTCGTACTCCCTAATATGCCTCGCTGGTGCTTTGATAGCCACAATTGGTTCTTTAATATCCATTAGTGATTCCCAAAGATTCCATGTAGCCTCTAGCGATTCCCTAGTATACCGAGGAAGTGTTTAAATTCATAGCTCTTGGAGACCCCTAGTATGCCGTATTCCTTCATGGCTTCCTAGATACCCTGATTGGTTCGATGGGCTTTCTCTTGAAAGCTCATGATGGTTCCAAGTAGGTCATCATGGTGTTCTGTTAGCCCCTAAAGAGCACTACAAGGCATATTAGGAAGCACTAATGGGTATTAAGAAACTAATTAAAGCTCTCTGGGTATACTAAGGAATTGATAAGGGATATAATGAAACAAATATGGGGTATTATGGCACAACCAGTGCATATTATGATAGCACTAAGGCTTTAAAATAACCAAAGAACCAAAAAAGGATATTAAAGCACCTCTTTCAGTCTTTAGCTTACTATATACTAGGGGTTCAGTTAAGACTATTGAAAAACGAACTAGGGATATGGTATGTGTAATATTTTTGTATTGTGCTGACCTTATTGACTTGGTTGTGCTGGCACAATTCCTGCAACACAACCAATAAATACCTTTCTTTGTTTATGGAGAAATATTAATGCATGTAAACTTTAACAAATATATATATTATTTCTCGTCTTCCTGACCAATAGATACAAAGATACAACATACGAAGAAAAATACTTTCTGCTGGTTGTGTTATGATGATTCTTCGAAAAAACATACATATAGTATCACAGTGACATCAGATTAATAAATTCATGCATTACTTACAACACTTTCTAAAAGCTTGATTAGATGGTAATTACAGTTACCACTTCCCTTGCACTTACAAAACATGCAACAATTAATTTTGTTCAGTTCACATAATCTGTTTTGTACCACACTTACTATAATAAATTAGATGGAAGTAGAAATAATCTTGATTTGCGCCATTGAAAATTAAAAATTCAGTCAAACTGATATCATATTTGAAATCTACATGTAAAATTACATCTAGAGATGTGTTTTTGCAACTTTGAAAATTCAATTTTCTTTGAAAATGCAATTTCTAGGTCGAAGAGATTCTCCATAGACCCCATGTTAATAAAATCACAAGAAGTGAAATATCTTTGCTTGTATTGGACAGATTATATTTTCTTTTACTGGGCATATTTTTTAATTTGTACTGTATATAATTATCAGATACATAAGGTGATATGAAAATTGAAACACTAAAGCTGATGAATATTCAAGTTTAGGGGAACTTTCTAATACCCTGCCATGTTATCGGCCCCGAATTAGCCTCCTTGCGGTGAAACTGGTAACTGCCTATTCGCATCTGGTTTATTACATTGTAAAATCAGATCATCAGGTGATATACAGAATATCCTTTGTATCAAGATCATTTTCAAGAACGAAACCATATTCCAATGGGTCAAGCTGAGTATTTGATAAAGTCAGATACCGTTGTCACAAATGGCGGACATAACTGTCGCTTCAACTCTTTAATCACTTGGTCCTCGTTTCTCATGGGATTTTATCATCACTAATTCTGTGCATGTATTAAGCTCATGTGATGATGTATTATATGAAATCCACATTTCTATCAAATGGGGTCGTGAATCGCCACAATATAGCATCTTCGATATCGTCAATGACAACAGAATCTGAATTTGAGATAATTTACAAAGACAACAGCATGTGGTAAATTATTTATTTATTTAGGAGCAAAGGTTAACTATTAAGTCTCCCACACACACAAGTCTTCAAATTCAAGGATATTTTCAAGCCTAAATCTTGAACGAAACATAAGTTACAGTGAGTTATAGAAGCTATAGTGTATGTATCCCTATATAAGGGGTGTTTTAAGAGGTAAATCAATAATTTCTGCTTAAATTTTTTATTATTATTTATTTTAAGTGAACTACAGTCATCTATATTGGTCTAAAATGAAAGAAAAGTATTAATACTATGCATGGGTATAAGGTGTGGAAAGTAAATTAAAAAGTATAGATGATGGTTTATCTGAAAATAATATTAATTCAAATTATATGGAAATACGTTTTATTTTTTTTCTCAAAAAGTGATAAAGCTATGAACATAGGGTTACTGCAGTCTCTCAACACCATAATTGTACATATTCAGGAATATTTTTAAGCCCAAATCCTGAATGACACAAAAGTTACGGAAGTTAACTTAAGTATCCCCTTTAAAATAGGGGGCGTTTTAAGGGGTTAATCAACTATTTCTCCATAAATTATGATTTTCACACATTGAAAAAATTTTTAATGCATAATTTAATGTACCATTGATCAATTTAAGCTATTTGAGATGTCTTTATGTTTCAATTATGAAAATAATAATTAGTTTTAAGTTTGGGGGTAAATTGTAGGGGGCGCCACCTATAGGACCATTTTTCACATTCGTTGCCGGGGCTAGGACAGAGAACCCAAGCTCAAAATAAGCCCAAGACCTTGGTCTACATGAATCCAGTGAGAAACTTAGGGGACAAACTTATTTTTTTAAATTTGCTCAGCTGCTGACCTATAATGTACCATAAGGTATCGTGATTTCAGAGTGTGGACCTGATCACAACCAAAACTAAAACACTTTCATTAATGTAAAGATTAACTTTTGGTGTCACTGATTACTTTAGTACTTTAAATTTTTTATTCCCTGTCCTCTTCATCAAACATTTGTATGTTATCTACAATTGTGGTTCTCACCTCATCTGGTGATTTTCCCTCCACTTCCCTGGATATACTGTCAATATCATCTCTGCCATATTTCTCATTGGCCTTGATGAACTGGTTGAAGTCTCTCTTGTTCCAGCCAGTGAAGCCCTAAAATAAAGACATGAGTAAAATGTCAATGGAATTAGTGTTACTTACCAAAATAAAAGGGCTTTTACAAGAGATAAATGAACTGTTTTTAACAAGAATTTCACCTCAATGACACCTCTCTTGTTCCAGCCTGTAAAGTACTAAAATAATATTTTGAATAAAATATCAATGATATTTGTTTTGATTACCAGAACAAAGCAACCTTTACTCTAATTTTATTTCATATTGAAAAGCAACATTTACCGTATTATAACTCATTTATTACTCGATAAAGTTCATTTTACCTCATTTATCAATCACGAAAATTTACCTCATTTAGTAGCCTCTCCTTCTCAGCTTGTTCCTCCTCATCTAGTGGTTCAGCCTCATCAATCTTTCTCTGTTCCTCTTTACGAACCTTCTCAGCATCTGGTCCAAGGTCATGATTCTTGGGTACCTAAAACAGGGCTAGGTTATTAATCAATGGAAAATAAAATAACTAGAGGATATACACAACATCCATAAAGTCTCTTCACATATAGTTTGTATTGGAGTTGTAAGGTACAAGGTCATGATTTTTGGGAACCTAAAACAGGGCTCAGTTTTAATACAATAATCTGAATAGAAGATATAATGACCAACTTTTCAGTGATTGGTTAAAATTGAACATGAGGTGAGCTACATCACTGAAATATGTTTTGTGTTGAAAACTCAAAGTTACCCTTTGTAGAGTGATTTTAACTCATGCAAAATTCTTTTTGTTATCTTTTGGATAAATCTTCAACTAAGTGCAGAACACAGATTTTCAATACTAAGGATACACTATTACATATGCTATTCAACTCACTCTGTATCATACTAACTCCAGTCCCTCTGGGAGGTATCATATCACCCCTATGGATTAACTAAATATACATTCCCTCCCTATTTATAATCACTACATATCCAGTACTCACCCTGTATCCAATACTTTTCCTATAGCAGTAAATCTCCTGATCTAACAGTTCAAATAGTCTTGGAGGGTAGAACTGGAAGTCTTGTACATTGGGCTGTTTAGGAGGTCGAGGTGCCTGCATTCAAAATAAATCATTTTAGCATTATGAGCCATTCCTTCAAATTATGCAAATCAAAGCAGACAAAATAAGTACACATAGTAGTAATCTCACATTACCATAAAGGTAGGGTAGATAACTTTTGGTTTTAGGTACAGCTATTTCATCTCATTAGCCAACCAAATTTAGATGGTCCAATCAAAATAATCAGGCTTTTGGATCAGTGGCAACATAAACAATCGGGGCTCCAGGATTAATTATTCCATAATTCATTAACAAATAAGGCTCATATATCAAGGAGTTCACAACTCCATTGTTTTCAAGCATCAAAATGCAATTACGATAATACCTTAAAATTTGGTATGAGTGAAATTTGAGAATTTGGTTAATAAAAATACAGAATAAAATCCTGTGCTAAGGACTAACAATTTCACTTACCTTAGGTGCTTTAGGCTCGCTGACTCTCAAAGCCTCCCTGAAGTAAGCATCTACAGCATAGTTAGCCTTTCTCTCTCTCTTAGGGGGCTCAATCCACATACCTACAAAAAATGCAGTTTTTGAATATAAGGAACAATTTTCTGCAATGATCCTATCTAAGATATCAGTCAAAATTGTCTTTACTACTCAATATTTTATTAACTTGTCCACTAGTGCGGATTATAAACTTTGTAAAATGACCCCCTTTATCCCTATTTCATTCCATTTCTGTGTGAAGGAATAAACTTCCAATTTTTTAGCGTTTCTAAATAATATTTAATTTGTCTTTAGCACTGATTACTTCAAACCTTTTGATTCAACCACTGAAATATATGGTTGATTCAACCATTGAAACATATGGTTGATTCAACCATTGAAATGTATGGTTGATTCAACCATTGAAATATAAAACTTGAAGCCCAGGGGGACTAAAGCTTAAAAAACTTAAAAAAGGTCGATTAAATAACTTAAAGAAATCATAACTAATATAAACAAGGCATTAACATGACAAAATGTCACCACCTAGTTAGGTCATTGAAGGTCAAATGTCAAATCTAAAGTCAAATCTAAAGTCAGATTTGAATTTCTGAGAACATGTAGATGATTTTGAAAAAAAATTTAGTCAATGTGAAGCAAGTTGAAAAAAGACCTTTTTGACCTTGAGAAGGTCATTGAAGGTCAAATGTCAAATCTAAAGTCAGATTTGAACTTCTGAGAACATGTAGATGATTTAGAAAAATATTGAAGTCAGTCTAAACAGTATTAGTCAATTTGAAGCAAGTTGAAAACAGACCTTTTTTGACCTTGAGAAGGTCATTGAAGGTCAAATGTCAAATCTAAAGTCAGATTTGAAGGTCAAATGTCAAATCTAAAGTCAGATTTGAAGGTCAAATGTCAAATCTAAAGTCAGATTTGAATATCTGAGAACATGTAGATGATTTTGAAAAAAAATTTAGTCAATGTGAAGCAAGTTGAAAAAAGACCTTTTTGACCTTGAGAAGGTCATTGAAGGTCAAATGTCAAATCTAAAGTCAGATTTGAACTTCTGAGAACATGTAGATGATTTAGAAAAAAATTGAAGTCAGTCTAAACAGTATTTGTTAAGTTATAGGAAGTTGTTAGAAATTGTTACAGACGCCGGACGCCGGACGCCAACCTCCAACCACCAACCACCGTCGCAAAAAAAACGGAGACCATAACAATATGTCACCACTTTTGGTGGTGACATAAAAATCATATGTCGCATTAATTCCCTCTGGATGCACATGACCTAACCCTCATTCTGACTAAATTAATAGTAAGTGAAATTGTTAAACCATACAGGCACGCTTGTGTACTTCTATGATACTGAAATATCCATAGACTTACCTATTCCACCCTTCTGTTTATCCCTATAATCTTCGCCTTCAAACTGGTAGACTGATTTGGGCTCTTGAACGTCCATCTCAAAGTTACGCAGATTTCCCTCGCCAAGTTTTTCCATCTTTTTAGCAATTTCTTCAGTCTAAAATGCACATGGAATGTTACTGGTTTAAGTTTATGTTAAAAATGCATGTATACACTATAGTGGCATCTTTTATTACAAATTACTATTTTTCCTACTTTTTCATTTTTCTTAAATATGCATTAATTTTCACCAGCTAAAAATTCACAATACTTCAATGAGAGGTGAGCTGATATAATGTTGTCGGAAAGTTGATATGCCATATTTTAGAAAATTGATATATCAAATTTCAGAATCTGTGCAAAACCTATCCTCCAAATTATCAATTGCACACTTAAAGGAAATATGAATTGCAGAACGAAGATGTTAACAAAAATGAGGTATGCGATAATACACCAATTTTTCATTTACCTTTTTCTCTCCTCTTTCAAGCAGAATGTCTATATCAACATCAAGATTTTCACCCTCTCTGGATGCAAACACATGGTTGGCTCCATGTCTGATCATATCTAACATGTCATCCTTGGCTAGTTTTGCTGAGGCATCAACCAAGCGACCTATAATGATGAATTGAACTTGTGTTTAATGGCTTCCTAAAGTATCATAGTATCAAGGCAGAATTTCAATTGTAGTGCATACAAGACGTTACATGCAAAATGTCACCACATGCCATTTGTTACAAATGGAGACTACAACAACTGTTAAGTGGTCAGTTGATTGAATTCATTTCAAAGATAACACTACAGAGCCCAACATCGCTCAGGTTTTACTGTGCTGTATATAATTAGCTATTTGCCCGAAAGAAATATATTGGGACATTCACATAGGTTTTACTGCACTGTACAGCAAATTATAGTCTAAAAGAAATACACTGGTATATTAAAAGAATGTTGGTGGAGGAACGAAGAGTGAAACTACTGCTCAGTTACACTCCCAGAAATCCATCCATTGGTCTAGGAATTTACTAAAGAGTGAGACAAACTTTGTCAGATTCTACAAGTGAAATTCCATTTTATTTATGATAAAGTGTCTCTTACTTAAAATACAAAACTACATGAGGGCCAGACCACTCAAACCTGGGGAAATTTTTTTGAGTTGCAGCAACTCTACAACAATTTCCAGCAGTAATTTCATGTTATAGGAAATTTGAATTACAAAATAGAATTTAAGCATTTTTAAGAAGTTATATAGTTTACCCTGTTGAATGACAATACTGTCCAGCTTGAGTTTCATCTCTGCTCTCTCTATGATTCTCTCCTCAATGGTGTTCTCCGTCACAAATCTGAACACTCTCACCTGTTTCTTCTGTCCAATCCTGTGGGCCCTGTCCTATATACAAGAAAAAATGGTGAGGGGTCAGTGATTGTTTCATATTCAAACTTGAATGCCTTTTTTATTGGTAACATTGGTTAAATTGCTTTGTAACGTTACAGAGCTTTTTGAAAAAATGTTTATGATTAACCCTGCTCAGCTACCCATACTCTTGTAGGCATCTCCATATAAACAAAATATATGAAATGGAAATATCTTATCTTTAACGAAACTCAATGAATAGCCAGTTGCAACTTTAAGGCTTTTTGATCCCATGCCAGCAGATATAATCTGGAATGTTGGTGGAGGAACGAAGAATGAAACTACTGCTCAGTTTCACTCCCAGAAATCCATCCATTGGTCTAGGAATTTACTGAAGAATCAGACAAACTTTGTTCAATTCTAAATTAAAGTGAAATTCCATCAAAATACGTAACTGAGATAAAATCAATGTAGACCTTAAAGTTAATTTACATGTCAAAAGTAGGTATCTATGTGCCAAAGTACTGAAGGAGAAAAAGTATCCCTGTGTAAGCTTTCCAACTACATATACGAGGGGTGATCCAAAAGTCTTGGACGTCCATAATGTCCAAGGCCATAATGTAAACACCTAAATAATCTCACGTACCATAGCCTGGAGATCAACCTGTGGGTTCCAATCTGAATCAAATAGAATAACGATATCTGCCGTCGCAAGATTAATCCCCAGACCTCCTGCTCTCGTACTCAGCATGAAGACAAACTTTTTACTATTTGGCATATTAAATGCTTCGATGGACTGCGTACGTTCCTCATGGGCTGTTTGTCCATCCAAGCGACAATATTCATAGTTTTTCCAGCCGCAATAATCTTCTAATATGTCCAAGACACGCGTCATCTGACTGAAGATCAGAACTCTTGAACCTAAAACACACAAGTCAAGATTCATGGATAATAGGGAGTTTAAGCTTGCAATGTTTTTCACAACCTAAACTTGAACGGAAAATATCAAAGTGATGCATTTGTAGGGGTGATTGGTCATATGTATAGGTTGGCGTTTCGATTATACTCGTATATGCAAGCTTAAACTCCTTATTATTTAATTCAACATACTGAATACAAATCAGCTACTGATCACAACAATCTCAAATGTGACTCTAATGGCCTCTTATGAGAGTTTAAATGTGAAAGGAATGTCAGCTTGAAATATATACAGAAATGTAGTGTCATGATTTTGTGTATATACGGTGAGTCTGATATGACCTAAGACCAAAGAATTATCTCTAATTTATAGGGTGATGAAGCCGAGTTCTTGTCATACAAAATATTTTGGAGTTTGGAGATGTGATCTTGCGGTGTTGTAACAGGCTGCTCCACCATGTTTGAACAAATGACAACTTTTGAACATTTTTGGTGTAGCCAACATCTTCAAATAGGTGAGGCAAATTTAAATAAGTGAGGCAAAAGCTGAATTAATTATGATATGTTTCTGTCATTAGACTTCACTTTAATGGTTCTAATTGAAAAAATGTCTGCATTTATATTACCCTGTATAAAATCTGCCTCGTGCCTGGCGACAACTGTGCTTTTGAAATTTCTTTAAAAAAATAAGAAATAAATCTGCATACTAATGAGAATCTAAAAATTACCTTGCTCCTGTAGCTTTGGTAAAAGTTTATCTAAGATGACCATTTTCCCACAGTTATCAACCAAGTGTTTATCTGTGGTGTATGGAGGCCCTGGTTCCGCACCATCAAACAGGTAGGGATGGTTACAGCATTTTCGCAGCTGCATTAGGATGTTCAATAGCCTCATTTTGTCACATTTTCCGGCACCGTTAACAACATCGATGTCTTTCATAAGGATCTTTGTGTACCTAGTAGATGTGAAATAAAATTATGCATTTTCTGAACATATATGTTTTAAATAATGTATATTAAACAAACTTAAGAAATACACATGATCATTATGTAAACCCCCCCAAAAAGTTTCGAAAATGTTTGTTTAGAATCACTACAGAATGAGATTTTCTGTATCTAAAGGTGTAAACTATATTACATGTATAAGCCTATTGAAAAATTCATAATCGTAAAAATGATAAAATGGTTACCACTCTCTCTGCATTTTACTAAGTCCAATAAATATTTTAGTCTCTTTCTTTGGTAGGAGGGATTTTTCCACTTCTCTTTTGATTCTTCTCAGCAAGAAAGGTCTCAAAACCTTAAAACAGAGAAAGAATACAATGTGAGCGTATGTACTCTTAAAAATAATTAATTTCAACATAATACGGGTCATACTTAAATATATGATTACGGACTTGCCAGATTAGAAAACAAGGCATTCACATGCAAAATGTCACCAGCCGCCATTCGTGACATTTGGAGAGGGATGGCATCAACCAAAATTTTCAGCAATCTATTGTAAATGTTATAAACCACAAAACGGTAAATTATCTTTACCACCATATTTTCATATTGTAGTACTAATATACTGTATGATCATTTAGGGTGGTCATTTACATTACTCTTGTAATTTATACATACCGCATGCAGCCTCTTTACAAGGGCATCATCATCTCCCAACATGTTACTGGTACTGAACCATGAATCAAAGTCCTGCAAATATAACATAACTCCATGACATCACAATTACAACATGCTCTAATTGAGCTTTATCATAACTGATATAATACCACATATTTTGCTCATTACAGTACAGGGTGTTCCATAAATTAAGTGTTTGTTTTTAGCTTTTGATTCTGCTTTTTAAGTGCATTAACGGTAGATGAACAACTCAAAATGGAAAACTTTTCAGCTGACAAGAATGAACTAAACAGCTTTCATGGCAAATACGTTTATCTGTACATGTCTTATACTCAAGTACATGTAGAGTACACCAAGTACATCTAGAGTACTATGGTTTCAATTTACACATTAGATAAGTACAACAAATTATTTATACATTATACTAAGAGGCATTACTGAAATTCAAATTCAATTTCTACTTACATCTGAGGAGCTGAAGACATCTGGAAGAAGGAAATTCAGAAGAGACCAGAGCTCATGAAGATTGTTCTGTAGAGGCGTACCAGTTAACAGGAGTCTGTTTGTGGACTTGAATTCACGCACAATTTCAGACAGCTGGAATGAGAACATATTGTTAATACACTAAAGACAAGGTGAATATACATGTACAGCTCATGAAGATTGTTCTGTAGCGGTGTACCAGTTAACAGGAGTCTGTTTGTGGACTTGAATTCACGCACAATTTCAGACAGCTGGAATGAGAACATATTGTTAATACACTTTAGACAAGGTGAATATACATGTACAGCTCATGAAGATTGTTCTGTAGAGGCGTACCAGTTAACAGGAGTCTGTTTGTGGACTTGAATTCACGTACAATTTCAGACAGCTGGAATGAGAACATATTGTTAATACACTTTAGACAAGGTGAATATACATGTACAGCTCATGAAGATTGTTCTGTAGCGGTGTACCAGTTAACAGAAGTCTGTTTGTGGACTTGAATTCACGCACAATTTCAGACAGCTGGAATGAGAACATAATGTTAATACACTAAAGAAAAGGTGAATATACATGTACAGCTCATGAAGATTGTTCTGTAGAGGTGTACCAGTTAACAGGAGTCTGTTTGTGGACTTGAATTCACGCACAATTTCAGACAGCTGGAAGTAGAACATATTGTGAATATTCAGTGAAACCTGACAAAGTGAGATACCTTTAGTACCTCTAACCTCTAAAAAGTGTTCCATTTGGGAGATGTTCCACTTATAGAGGCTCATTCAACATCAAGCCAGTTGGTCTTGTTACTCTGAAAAGTGTTTTACTAACAGAGGTGTTCAACTTTACAGGTCTCATTGTATTAACATGTACATTTGTGCCTATGCTAAAGCAAGAGGGCTCGGAATGTAAGATCTGTTTTCTCTTTGTTTGTCTACATGGATTCATAGTCTAACTAAACTACAGTGAGATCATTAAGCTGGGGAAATGAATTTTATTTGCCCTGATAGTTCAGCTTTTCCTGGACTGTTTCCCCTGTAAAATTGTGATAATATCATTAAATGCAAAAAGCTCATTCCAATAGTGAGTGGGCGCTTCATCAAACAGTTGGGTGCTTCAAACCTACCTTCGATTTTTCATTCTTGATCCTGTGGGCTTCATCAATTACAATATATCTCCAGTTGAACTTTTTGAAGACTGATTTCTCCCTAATACACATTTCATATGATGTCACACAGACGTCCCATTCTCCAGGTAGCAACGTATCACGGATGAACGCCATCTTGGAAAATAAACATATTATCATCTATTATATCCTTTTTTTAATCCATAATACTACTGTTTTCCCAGAGAAATATGAAGGAATAAAAATCGTATTGAATCGTATTACATGAAAAAATCGTATTGTCCCCGGGAAAAAATCGTATTGGATGTGCTCCCTCGGTCAATATCATATTACCCTTCAGTCAATATCATATTGTCCCTCGGAATAAAACCCATATTCGATCCCTCCCAGTGAATAACCTATATATATCACCTGCCAGTTTGCCACCTGCTTTGTGGCAAACTAATGGCAAAAATCATTGTAGAAAATGTGCATCATTTGTATCGGCAAAATAATTTACCAGTGATCTCCCCATGTCACTTTTACCAGGGGCTCCCCCTACTTGAAACCAAAGGCCCCCCAGTTGGCACCCAGTTGGAATCTGCACTTCAACTTCTGATTTGAAAAATGAGTGAAGTAAGCACCTACACTGAGATATTGTGAGTGTAGCGAGTGCTGATTTTTTCAGACTTGAAATCTTGCACCCAGTTGAAAATTCTTTTTGGGGAGAACACTGTTTACACCTATCATATCCAAATACTCACCCTCTGTTCTTGGTTTCCAATGAGACAGACGGCAGTCAGACTTGGGCACCATCTCTTGAATTCATTCATCCAGTTGGATAATGTACTCTTTGGCACTATCACAAGATGTGGAGAGGGAATGTTACGGAAATGTTTCATGTAACCTAATAGGGAGATTGTCTGTAAGGTCTTACCCAAACCCTGGAAATAGAAGGCATTAACATTTACTAAATGGCACCACAGGGTTAATTATTGCAAATCAGGCCCGTAGCCAGAGGGGGGGGGGGTCTGGGGGTTCCTGGCCAATTTTCAAAATCATGCAGTTTTCACAATTCTGAGCACTTTTCAAGTGATTCTGGCCATTTTTGGGCCAAAGTTGTTAAAAGTGAACCCCCCTGGACATTTTTCAAAAGTGAACCCCCCTTGGCAAATCCTGGCTACAAGCCAGCAAATGGCTACAGATATGTAAATTGTAGCTATAACAACTTTGAGATTTCATTAAAGTTTTATAAATTAATTGTCAGTTTTACAAGTTAGACAGGTTTGACAAATATTCTTAAACCTTTTGAAAAAACTTACAAAAATTAAAGTAAAGTAAAATGTAAATTTTATTAGAGTAACATGTTTTACTAAATTATTTTTCTGCATTGCATAAATAAAATTTAGTGAAAAGAAGCATGCACACGACAGGTTGAGCAAAAGTCTTACCATTTCATCAGCCAGGATCCCATTGATTCCATGTTCATAAAGAGAAATCATCCAATTCAAGCCTCTAATCTGGTAGTCTCTCATAGTTCCACTCTTGATATCTGAAAAAATTATTTGAATGCAATTTTACGATTATTACAAGGCATCAACATGCAAAATGTCACTACCTACCATTTGTTACAGACACAGATCTCCGACTGCCAGATGCAAACACTGTCCACAAAAAACTTGCAGCGGTAAGATTAGTGATCGATCAGAATTGAGGCCACTGGCTGTTGAAAAATTGATTCAGTAATTAATTCAAAAGGTTCAGCAGAGCTAGAGAAAATAGAAACTTGGAAAGATATTATGTATTATATGTTTTGCCTATTCGAAGGACAAAATGAGATGAGAATCTTCAGCTAAGAGAAATCATTATCTATTAGGTAAATCATGATATAGTTTGAATTTCACCTCTCCCAAACCATGCTTAATCTTCAGCAACTATGAATTCAATGATTCAAAGGATTTTTGAATTCACACCCTATAGTGAGCACCCTGTAGCAACTAGCAAACAACCTGTAGCAACTAGCAAACAACCTGTAGCAACAAGCAAACAACCAGTAGCAACTAGCAAACAAACAACCTGTAGCAACTAGCAAACATAGTCCTAGACCACCCTGTACTTACATGAAGGAGATTCATCGAAGCGTGTCAATACATTCAAAGATTTACGACTGTTACGTAAAAGCTCTTCGTCTTCTTCCTGCTCTGTTCTTCTGTGACGGTGACTAGAAACAACAAAAAAAAAACATAAAAACATAAAAAATTTCATATCAATCAATATACAATTTTGTACATCCATTTGTGTTAAGGTATTATTTTATTTTACAGTTTTTTGAAATGTCTTGAACTTCATACAATCTCTTAATGCCTGGGGTTGTATTTTGTTGGAATATTGCATTTTCAATCAGGTAAGGCATTACACTAAGAGTTGACAGTTAAACACTGAAATATATTCTGCAAAAGCATATGTGTTCAGTCATGAAACGTGAAAATTTATCCATTTTTTTCTATATTTCTGATAAACCAATTGGTAAAGCTCCTGCTGACAAATCTACGTACTCTCCAGCTGACAACAATCGTTCTCTGGCCTTTGGCTCTGGTGTAGCTGCAGCTTTTGAGGGCCTTCCTGGCTTCATCTTTAGTGGACTAGTGGGGGTTTTCTGTCCAAGAGCTGCCCCTGTGCTCATGAAATGAGCAAAGATTTCTGTCTGTTGAAGTAGGTAGTCAAACCTGTTGCCTTTATCCACATCCTGTGAAACAAAAAACAAGGTCTGATAGAGTGATCTGATATATTAGAAATAAACTGGATGTTGTATATAATTGCACTTACCATTTTGTTTTCTCTTTCTAATTTACATGCAATGTTTTGCATATTGGACTTAAGTCTCATGTATTATAAAACTGCAGAATCATTAATAATCTAGATCAGGTTGTGTTTTATGTTTATTGAATATACAGAGTATATTAAATAAACATAAAACTGTTAGTTAGCATCAGATATGTTTTTCGTGTTGTGAAGTGAATACTTTTTTGTTTCATTTTGACAAAGAATGGAAAATTCAACATTTTTTTCTAAATGAGACCTCATTTTATTGCTTGATTTCACTGTTTGATTTGGTTTCTGTGCGAGTTATTTTTAATTTTTATTCACACTTCATCCCTTCTCTTACCAATTTATCATCATACACCTCATCACTGCCTCCTTTTCCCTTTGGTGGTGTCTTGAGTTTGAAAGCTTTTTCTGCTTTTGTGGATGGTCCAGCATCCTCACTCCCAGACTGCAAAATGAAACATTAACAGTTGAAGAAATTCTTACTCATCAACCTATTCAGGCCAATTGCCACAAAAATGCAGAACTAGGGCTCCATGAAGAGTGGTATTCAAAAGCAAGTACAGGGGTTTCACTAGAATTTCTCACAACAGGCTAAATAAATGAAAACAACATGCAAAATTAATGGAAATCATAAATTTAACAAGGAAAAGTTTAAAAGTCCCTAAAAACAACAGGCGATTTTGTGAAAACAACCGGTGAAAATTGCCTGCTGCTAATGAAACCCCTGAACTATGATACCAAGGTTATTTATAAAGTTCTAAAAGTTACTCATCCTGTAAGCAGGGCATAATTCTGCTAGATATTTCATAAGCATACATTTTTGTGAATTAACTTCAACAAATTGCTGAAGTTCCGGTATCTCTCATTTGAAACTCTCCTGATATTTCGAACGCTACTTTGTGATTTGTGAATTTCTGTCAAAATTGCCATTTTGGTTTCCCTGCAGAAAATATCCACTCGATAAAATCAAGTCCTATTCAGCACAGAAGCCACTGATAACTTACAGAATTTCACGAATGGAAGATGGAGATGTAGGAAATATTTGGAGATATAAAGTAAGCAGCCGATTTCAATTTTAGCCAATACAGAGGTGGCGTTAACGCAATTTTTTACGTTTTTTACTCACATTTTTGCAACTCTGACGCAAATATTCATTGTCTACCGAGTCTTTCTGACGCACGTTTGTTTCACATGCAAAATCCCCGCTTGGTACTTGGTTAAATTGATCCCTATACGTGAAAATACGTGATTGATCAAATTTATAATTTTGCTAATTCCAGAAATCTAACATTTGGTTCAGCGCAATCGAGCCTCCTTCCTACCGATCATTTTCTCATTTCGGTATTTCATATAATTTTTAAAGCCCTGTGATTCAGATTCAATGATAAACTTGAAAACATTGATCGATCCCTCGATTTGTTTATCTCGTGAAGCACGTTGCTAGGGGGCGTATCAAAAATGCAATAAAACGAACATAACATTGAACAATGATTTATTAATTTCATACTCCCTTCTAAGGATTTTAGTGATCGTATATTTATCTAAATCACCGCATAAAATCTTCTTTTGAATGTTCACACGCTAGATTTACGAACCTTTAGTTTCCTTCGCAAGTTCGCAAAATTCCTTCGCTAAGTTAGCAAGTTTCCTTGAGCCGTCCCCTTCATCAGCATGCGCAGATGTAATGCGCAGTAGGTTTATCAATGGTGCTCACAGTGACCGATCTATCGTAAGTTTTCACCAAGTATTTTCAATTAACTCCCTCAAGTTAAGATCTTCGATTCACTAGATCTGAAGCTGATCCTATGAAGATAGATAATGGGCACATGAAAATCCAGTCGATCGCACACTAAGGGGGTAATGATGATAAATTAGGTATGAAAACAAATCTACTTTCGGTTTCATTTGATCAGCTATAGATCTAATTACAAGATTCTACCGTATTCAATTTAAAAATGATGCCAAGTATTGTGGTCGGACTTATATTGCCGTTTTAGACTTTGGAATGATGGCAAAAATGTTGAATTTCAACATGAAACGCTTTGACCCCAATTTGTGTAACTCCACACAGGGAGAAACTCCTCTCCCACTCCATTCACACCCATGACTCGCTGGACCAGATAATCAGATGATTAATAGTGACATTTTTCTTGCAATTGCCTAATTAATTAATTGTTAGTTGTTAATGTGCTATAAGAGTACAATAAAAGGTATGCACAAAATCAAAAAATAGATTTTGTATGTGGTTTCTACATTTTGTATGCATTTTTACTCCAGAAAAACACTTTTATAGCTTTGACTCAACTTTTTTTCTTGTGACTCACTTTTTTGAAACTACCTGAGTCATAATGACTCACAAAAATATATGCCTACCGCCACCGCTGCAATACAATTCTGAAGCAGGTAATAGGGCACATGCAAAGGCTGTTCTATCAGAAGTATACTGGTTTTGGGAACAACAAACATTGGTAGACCTACAATGCATATCAGTATAATACGCATTGGTATTATGCTCTTCAGTACAATGTTTGTCGGTATGATGAGGTATCCCGACAAAAGTCTTGAACGGTGGCCTTTGGGCTCACAGGGGCTTGTCTGGAGGGTCGGGCAAGCCCTCCGATGAGTCTACTGCTTATTAAGAGTAAAAAGGGGGGTCGGTTTTGATGCCACCTGAAATTTGTAGAAAATGATTGTAAGATATATCAAGTAAAAATATATGGAATCCTTTTTTGAAGCCAAATTATTACCTCCAGAGTCGATTTCTTCCCCAAGACACGTCCACTGTTAAGAATTGGTAGTTCCTAGAGTTCTTTGTTTCCTTAGGTTCATTCCCGTATGTTATTTTTAACGAAGGACAGCCTATAACGACTGCTATACGCAAAAAGATGCATGAAATTAAAAGTTTCGAAACTGAAAGTTGAAAAATGGCGACTTTCCCGTGTTCTATGCGCATGCGCAAAAATGAAAGTACTTCATTCCCACAATTTAGAAGGATTCGAATTACTTTTCGGCGGTTGGTTCGGTTATACTTAGATACCAAATGAAAGATTATTGCCAAGGAATGGAAAACGTATTACGAAGATGAGAGTTATTTGTTTTATCACTAAAGGAAAATATTTCTGCAATATTAGGTGCATCATGGGAAGGGACTGCTGTGAAATAATGAACGCAAGTGACATCTATCTAAAAATATATGTGTAGTTATTGCGCATGCGTTCATATAATATGAACTAATCAAATTGCTGGATTGAACGTCTGCGCATAGAACACAGGAAAGTTGCCATTTTTCAAATTCAGTTTCGAAACTTTTAATTTCATGCATCTTTTTGCATATAGCAGTCGTTATAGGCTGTCCTTCGTTAAAAATAACATACGGGAATGAACCTAAGGAAACAAAGAACTCTAGGAACTACCAATTTTTAACAGTGGACGTGTCTTGGGGAAGTAATCGACTCTGGAGGTAATAATTTGGCTTCAAAAAATTTGGTACTTGCAGTGTAATCACTTCTTTACATATTCTTCAGATTTCTCAGCAACAAGTGGATGGTTCGCTACCATTTTAGGTAAGTTTACTCTGTAGTGTTGTTTGAATCAGCATGTCGATTATTGAAAGGATTCCATATATTTTTACTTGATATATATCTACAGTAACAATCATTTTCTACAAATTTCAGGTAGCATCAAAACCGACCCCCCTTTTTACTCTTAATAAGCAGTAGACTCATCGGAGGGCTTGCCCGACGCCTCGAGACAAGCCCCTGTGTTTGGGCTAACACAGATTTGATTTTGAAAATTAGGCCTAGAGATCTAAAAATTGATTTGATTGTATGAAACCGGTAATTTGAAGTACATTATGTGGAATACCAGTATGATTTTACTTACCCCGTTTGTTTCCATAGCTTCTTCACTTTCATTTGCTGATTCTGAATCCGACATTGTGTACGTACAGTTGGTGTTTAACGAGAAATCAAACAAATATAAATAATCTTTGTCAAGTAGTGCTTTTGGCGCGATGAATAAGCTGGTTGGTCACCACATAAAAGATTTGAGCAATATATAAAGATACCACAAACTGCAATAGATTTCAATATTTACCAAATATATGATAACTCCTCGAGTTGTGATCAAGATATAATGCAGAAAGAATAGAAATCAGAAACGATATATCAATTTTAGTATAATATAACAAGGAGTTTGTTTGTTTGTATCCTTTATAGCGTTATAATGCCGCTTATTGGTCACATGTTACTGGTTATTCCCTTGTGCTTGCTCTTGATACTTATTCACTTGTTCTTTATCAAAAGTCTAAAATTCCTTATACTATTATATACAGTTATAATAGTGTAGAACTGATTCGTGGTGCTTCATCAAATGCGGAAGTATACGGAAAATACCGAGTACAATCAGGTTTACGCGGTAAATTCAAATGCTTTGTAACACTGCGTCAAATGTGAAATTCCAAGCAATTTCTAGACGTGCAAAGATAGTCTAGGAACTCCGCGTATCTAGAGATTCCAAGACGTGTCAAGAGGTGCAAAGACCTCGCGTGTAAAGAGCGTGTCAAGAGTTTTGATATCTCTTTGCACAGCCTTATCAAAACAAACAGTATAATTAGACCGGCCACATGTTGTTATGCCCTAGGGATAGTCGCCCTTAATTATACTTTACTAGGATTGGAATATAACAATCATTTTAATTTCGTGTTAATAAAAATTTGTGTTTTTTAAATCGTTTAAAAAATTAATTTAAAAAGTATGTGTGTGCGTGTAAGTATAGGCAATAGCTTAGTCGAAATGAGTAGACGTGTGCAGATGGAGATCGCCTATCGGCTAAATCTGACATCAGATCAAATGAAAACACGAAATGTGTTTTTCTTAGGTTTATCTACCCTGATTTCGAGTGACTTTAACTTGGACGCATATTCCTCTTTTAAAACAGTTTGAATAATTAACAAAGTCCACTTTGAACCGTGTCAATCAAATTGTCAAACATGTAGATACGCTGTAGCACATGCAGGCCCGAATACAGGGTGGATAGATTGGTTCTAGCGACCCCCCCCCCCCTCCGTGACCAAAATTGCATTTTTTACCCCATACTGAGCACCTTTTAAATTATTTTGCCCATTTTTGAACTAACATTGCCAAAAGTGAACTCCCCTGGAATTTCTTAAAAAAGTAACCCACCCCTTGGCAAATCCTGGCTACGGGTCTGAAACGTCATTCTGATCTTTCTGTTTCACCTGAAACATGCTCTGATATAATGAGGCATATTCTGTGACCTGAGCATAGATGGGAAGAGTTATGAATGTCAATAAGTGTGATTGTTATCTTGTAATCATCTACCTTAATGTCAATACATTACATAATGTAGTAAGGCATTGTACATGTATTTAACAACAGGCACATCCTTCTTCAAAGGACTTCATTTATACGTGTAAAATACCCTTGCAGCGAGGATGCAACAGGCACAGTTACACAAGTTTTATGACCCCAATTAGATGAAATATGAGCTGGGATGAAAGATCTCAAAAATCAAGGGCTGAGAAGATTTGAGATGTCATGGTTACTATCATGATGCTGAAACATGTGTCGCTTATTGTCACATGTATTGATCATGATTGGGCGACGGCAGTTCCCTGAGTCTTTTTGATCTGTTTAATCTTATTAGTTACTATTTAAAATTGAATAATTTAGGACCCCGGAAGCAAAACAACTCTTTGTTATGAAAGGAATACACCACCCACATGGACAGAACCCCTCATGTAAACCATTTACATGTATCTTTGAAAACAATTTGATTTTCGATCTACATCTGAATCTCAGATGGAGAGTACTCTTTGACAAGATCAACATTTAAAAGTGTAGGGAAGTTTTGATAAAGATGTTTAATAGCTAATTATTCAGACATATTGTTCTTTCATGTTGACGATCATTGAACATAATTGATATTTGCAATTTTGAATTTGCAAACATTTTGAATGCAAATGTACTCAAGTACTATATCCTGAGTTCTGCCCGGATCCCTGAAAACGTTTAAAATCAAACTCGATTATTTAGCTAGACTTCAAAATAAGGGATCCAATAGACATAAAATCAATAGACATAAAAAGTAGGGCTTCAACAGGGGTAGTTCCCTGCAAAATAGGGCTTTCAAAGGCCGGGGTTTAGAATTGTATCTACATTAGAAAAGTATGATTTTAACAGGAGGTTGATGAGGTAGATTAATGTTAGGCCTGAACAGGGGGTTGAGGGGTAGACATAATGGAAAATAGGGCATCAACAGGGGTTGGGGCTAGCCTAAAGTAGGGATAAAGGCTCTCATCATAAATCAGATCAAAACATGTATGTTACTGTAATGTGTCACCCTAGACCCCTTTGTACCGTTTATGCCTCAGACATATTTGCTACTCGAATGGTATACTATATCTACGACCAACACCATTCGTTCGGCATTACTCAGGGACACAGTTACACTTCACATTCTTGCATTGCCCGTGTGTCAACCATACGGCGCCCTCGTTTTTGATACACATCACATCTTTCAACTAGAGAGAAGCCCCGGGAGAGAAGCTAATCGGTCTTATAGAAGGCGATGATTTCTTATGATGCATTTCAATGCCTGCATAGAGATTTTTCAAAAATGTTTTCCTAGAACAGCCAGGAAAAATAAATCACATTTTCATTTCCCAGGAACAACATAATCCGTAAGAATCCATTGACATCATTCATTTACATCTAAAATGTACTATTTTGATGTTATATGAGCAAAAATATTTTGACCAACATATTAAGCAATCAGACAGACTGGCTCACTTTATGAAAGGCCATTTGTTTCTTCATCTACAGGATATTTCTACGGAAGTTTACAATCAAGTCAATATGTTTATCTTAGTGTTTAGCATAGGTAAGAATGGGGGATGGGCTGGCGGGGGTCCGTCTTTGAATAATTCCAAGGGGTTCATATATTATCACAATTTTGTTACAAAATCACTTGGAAAGTGCATGATTTGAAAGATTATTTGGCCAAGGCGTCCGCTATTAACATGAGTATGAATTTTATAAAAAAATTACTTGAATCAAAATCGAAGAATTCCTTGCCCCGTGTGTTCACCATTCACCCCGGGGGTTCACACTCGGCTCAGGTGGGGTACCTTTTTTACATTTGGTATGTCAAGCCAATGGACCCACATTTTAAGACAGATTTTTCCATTTTCTGGTATAAGAATCGGTGTGGAAAATATGTTACCCCTCAATTGTGGTACGGCATTGGTCCCGGGGCATTGGTCTAGTTGTTACACATATCCTTCATTTGAGGTTGTTTATGATCATTTTACTCAAAGATCTGCCTTCTTCTCGAGGCATTCGATATTTCGAATGGCCTTAGTCTTATATTCTGGATATTTGGTACCCGGGGTATGGCATTGGTTCTATATTTGGATGTTTGACATGGCATTGGTCTTGTGTTTGGACATTTGATATGGCTTTTTGGGGTTTGTTTTAGTTTGTATGAGAACACATTTAATGCCACCCCCCAAAATTACAAATCTACATCTATTCTCTCTATCCCAAAGGTGGATCGGAAGCATGAAAAACAGATGCAGACTCGGGACAGTTGCAAGGGGGGCTATAATGGAGAAATTCGTTTTGATTTTGAGTCTAACTGTCTAACTGTCACAAATATTAATTAAAAACGCAAATAGCCTGTTTTATTAAATGAGACTAGGGCAAAAAATCTATTCATTAAATCTAAAGCCTAGACGATATCTTCTGTAATCAAGGTGGTTTTGTTACACTTCCGCAATTATAAAAACAAAAACATAGATTAAGTTATTAATGTTTTGTTATCATATCAGATTAAGTCAGTTTTGTCTCCGATTGTTATACAGGTGTGTGTATCGACTCCAGTGAACAACATTAAGTGAATCAATCCTTGAAATTCCCAAATTCATTCCAAATTCTGGCCGTTAACCCCCCCTCCCCCATGTCTCTTAATTACATTTATTTTGCAAATGATATATAAATTATAGATAAAAATATTTCTTTTTCGAATTGCTAAAAGGGCAACATGTGAAGATAAAACCGCGATCCTAAAGCTACTTGCGAAACAAAGTGGTTTATGGTCCCCAATATCATTATTATATTAATACCAATACAATGTACCTCTATGAATATCATAAATTCACTCCTTTTTAATATCAATAGTCAAACAAATTAAGTAGTATGCTACAGTTGGTTATCAATCGGAGTTCACGACCTATTGATTACTCTTTAATACAAATGGGTAACTCACACCCCCCGTCCATGTCCATGAAGTGCGTAGACTGACATAATAGTGCCATTTATTAATTAAAGGGGCAATAAGGACTGTAGAGAAAATAGGAAAGTTTTTTCATTTCTTCTGAGCTATCAAGGCAACATTTGGTTTAACATCTTCTTTGACATACCTATTTTCTTAAAATGTATGGATAAATTATCAATTTCAGCATTAAGAAGTGTAAATTCAGTTCAAAGCTTCAAAAAGGGGACTTCCACTTTTATATTTTTAAGATCCACCATGTCTCAAGAGGAATATCAGCTAAAATAATGTTTATCTAGGGGGTTTCTTTGTAGATAATAAAAATAGATGTTAGTCTTGATGAAATATCCAAACTTAAATATATTTTGACACTGGTCCATGATCGTTGAATGACCCCTCTGCACTAATTATTGCACCTTTAAACATCACTGATTTATGTTCATTTCTTTGTTCAAAAAGTTAAAGCACCAATTAAATACATATTTTTATCACACAAAAGGGGAATGTTTCTTATTAAAACATAAGCAGCGCCTAGGCGTCGATTGGGGGGGGGGGGGTCAATCCGGTGTTCTCAGGCTATGTACAGCCATGGGCTTTCAACTAGTTGAAAGCCCATGGTACAGCCAAGTATCCTGTTTATGTAAAAACCCTACGTTCCCGAATCACAATCAGACAATTAATTAGTATATTTGCTGTGTCTAGCAATTGATCATATAATTAGATGTTGCGAAAACTATGGGAACTTGTATGGTATGGGTACCTGTCTGTTTATGGATAGGCTGGGAAAGAACAGCAGAGAGAATGGTACATTCGATTGAATATGCTTGTTTTGCCCAATTGTGTATTAAAATGCCCCTCATTTATCATATGTATGGTCACAAGTTAAGTCGGCGATAATTTGTATTGACTTAACTTGAAACAAATTACTCCGAAATCCAAATACCCATTGAAAAGTAAGGTTATCTTTATATTAAGCTAATACAAAATAAATATATAAATAGGCCTGATGTATCAGTGTTTTCAAAGCTTATTGCACGTTTTATCCTTAAAACGCCTTTCTTTTTCTTATCATGATATGTATTTCCTTCACTTAGGATCAATGCGTCGATTAGCATTGCCTGTAACTGATTTATATTTTCAAAAGGCGGCATGAAATTGCCAAAATGTTTAAATAAGTCAATGTGTCAGCGTACATACAAAATAGTCTGTTTAATATTTGCTACATGTACTTGTTCCAAACAGTCTGCGAAAGAATGATTAAAAAATATATCAATTAAAAGTATCAGAGAAAATACTTGCAATCGTTTAAAATACTGTATGTATTGCTATTGGTAATTAGGTTAGTTGTTTACACATAATTATGTTGCTCAGTGTGCCAAGAGCGTGTCAAGAGATTCCATTAATTGTCACAGGGCGTGGAAAGACTTTTTGACATGGTCTTTACACGTCTTTGCACTGCGTGTGTCAAGAAGTGCAAAGAGGTGTAAAGAGTTGAATTCATCGCGTGTCAAGAGGTGTAAATAATTGGCACGTCTAGAAACCCGGCGTGTAAAGACCAGTTTCTAGACGTGTCAAGAGTTGGAATCCCATATTTCACGCAGTGTAAGTTTAAGTAGCGAAGCTCGATGATAGTGAAAGCTGATGATATGGTGATTGTAATCCAAACAAATGTGAATGGGTTCAGACATTTATTCTAAGGTCATATTCGGCACATCTAAACCTTGTTCAATGTCCTTTCATTCTTCAAAGTTTCATTCTATTTGCAATGGTCACAATTTATGGCCATTCAACAAAACATGCTCATAGTGCCAGTCTCGTCTCTGGAGGCAATTACTTGAACACATTGGGTGAAATTGTCCTGACTACACACTCACAGATTATGAGATATAGAGTAATTGTGTAATGGCTCTCATGTCCTTCCAATCTCTAGTTTCAACTCTCTGGGTGCTTCTAAGGTTGTGCGGTAGTGCTTCTAAGGTTGTAGGCTACGGTAAACATTGCCTTCGGAATTTAGCCCCAAAGATTTTCTGGATGTTAATAGCTACCGGGTAAATTTGTAAACTGACCATACTGAAATCGTGAACAAAGAGAATAGACCATAGAAACGTAGTAGAATGGAAGAATATTAAAAAACATTTATTTTACCGTATGAATGATTGAGCAATCACATTTGTTTGGGTAGTCTTGCTTAAAAGACCCTGTACTCTCCCCTATCCTTCTCTCTAGTATATTACCAGGAGAGAGTGAAGTTGAGGGGGGGTGGATACAGTCTTTGAGGAGGACTATTGTTTGGGTAGCCTTCCATTTTTGCCTCACCTGATTTATAGCCCCACTCCCATATTTATACACGATTACTTTCTAAACTTAAAATTAAATGCCATTTTCCTTTTATTGCGGACGCACAATTGGTCGGACTCCCATCGTTCTAAATCCCAATTGTCCAAATCCCATAGGTCCGAAATACAATCGTCCAAATCCCCATTGGTCCAAAACCCAATCGATTGAATCCTATTGGTATGGAATCCCAATCGCTCAAATCCCATTGGTCCGAAATACAATCGTCCAAATCCCCATTGGTCCAAAACCCAATCGATTGAATCCTATTGGTATGGAATCCCAATCGCTCAAATCCCATTGGTCCGAAATACAATCGTCCAAATCCCCATTGGTCCAAAACCCAATCGATTGAATCCTATTGGTATGAAATCCCAATCGCTCAAATCCCATTGGTCCGAAATACAAACGTCCAAATCCCAATTGTCAGAATCCATGATATTTTCCAAAGGACCATAACGGGGACATGTAATGACAGAAAGGCTTTGCTTTACGTTTTAATTCGTATCTAAAACCCGCATTCAATTTCATCGACAAAATCTATGCGAATGGCGTTCCCCTCATTATGATACGTTTCAGGTTACGGTGAACGTGATAAGTCCTACAACCTACCATTTGTTACAGACGCCTAACGCCAACCACCAAATGCCGACCACCGAACACCGTTAAAAAAAGTCAGAGAGTTCCAAACTTATTGAGGTCACCTCAATTAAATCGAAACCAAAGTCATATCACTTTAACCTTAAAAAACAAACTGAGAATATACATGTAGGATGAATTGAGCACAGTGAGGACCGTTGATAAAAAGGTTATGTAGTTTTATCCAACGAATTTATCAGGTAGATAGTTCAATGTGAGCCTCACACCTGCATCCGCCAGGTGCACGCACAGTCCTGGAGAGGGTGCTGAGTGTCTCACGATATCGTATCAGGATCTTGCAATTGGCTTGCTTTTGTACTAGTCAAAAAACATTGACCAGTTACAAATAAACATATTATCAGGCTATCAATAAAAAAGTGAGGATAATTTATTTGTGTAACACGGTGACAAGGTCAGAGGTCAAATAATACTTGACACAGACTTGAGATAATAAATTTAAAATTTGTGAGGCCAGACCAATGGGATTCGAACGACTGGGAGGCCAGACCAATGGGATTCGAACGCTTGGTAGCTACGTCAAAACGCGTCATTTTCAAAAGTTAATAGAGCCAGTAACTGATCGAAAGGGATAACATTTTGCTGTCCTATTCGCAACATGTCAACTTACTTTACAAATATGGTAAGTTTCCAGTTTTTATATTTGTTTCAAGATGTAGACAATGACATCTATTTTCTCTGATCATCTTGACTGGCCATCAGAATGTGCTATCATAAAATGCTTTTAGTTTTTCATGCACTTAGCCTAGTTAGAATAATTTCGTATAAGTCCAGTCAAAAAGTTTTATGTCATTACGTCAATGTTGCATTTACCAAATTATCTTAAAATAAGGCCTTCGGTGTCTAAAGGGGAGTTAAACACAAAATTCTTGGTATAAAAAGCGATACCTTCAAGTAAATGTTAAATACTATTACATTATTTTGTACATCATTTTGAACGACTTTCTTTGTAATTATTTCACACCAACGAGGCAAACAGCTCGGCAAATTAATGAGCAAAATATTTAGTTTAGACCTTGTAACAATAATCCCTGTGTAATAAGAATCTTATAAACAACTTTAATTTTGACTATGAAGTTGCTAATGAGCTGTTATTACACGAGGAAGAGCAAATTGCAAACTTAGCACATCAGGTAGTTAAATTAAAAAATATTTTCTTTTTAAAGTATTATTTCATTTAAAAGAAATATCGAAAAATCATGCTTACCTTAGAAACCCTTAGTGAAAAGCTTACAAAAATTGAAAACAAAACATATTTGCTCAGTAGACAAGACGTCTTTTTCACAAAGTTCAAGATAATCATCATATATTAACAAACAACGTTTATCATTAATCATTAACATGAAATTTTAAGTTCATAAAATCAAAATTTAAGAAGTTAAAAAAGGTTTTATTTAACATTCGAACATGACTGTATTCACGCCTTCTATAAACTGTAAACAAAGTCAACATTTCACCCGTGGTACCGAAGAATACCCCTGGTAATACGTGTAATGTATGACGTCATGTAACGGGGGTCGTAGTAATGGCGGACCATAATGAATATTCGAATCATTTTGTGAGTGTTCATGTTCGAATCGTAATATAGACCTCAGAGCAGGGGTAATATCGTCGATTACCCTAAGGGCTAGCCACAAAACACCAAAATGCTTTCATGTTTTTTTGTTTTTTCAGCTTTCGAACCCTCACTCCCTTTTAGTGCTACGGCCAAGGCGATTTGTGTCCAAAACACCTAGATTCAATTTTACTTTAGATTCTTGTAGGGGACCCCAAGGCATGTAAATTTTTTATGTGAACCCTTGCAAAGCAGGCTCAAAAGTGCTGAGTCAGCAAATTTTATCATTTTCGAGTCGGAGTTTGACCATATGCTTGAAACTATTTAATATCTCATTTGAAGATGTTGCAATTGTAATGAAACATTGTTAGTATATCAATAAGGCATGTATGAAGAATTCCTGAAAGTTTGGGTCTTATCCAACAAAATTTGGTAGAGATATGGAATAATTTGTCCCTAAAAGTACATCATTTCTCCTCAAAATTTCTTAATCAGTCGATAGTTAATCAGTCATTTAAAAAACAGTAAGGGCCTACGGTGTATAAAACCTGATTAAAAATTTCACTGATGAACATATTCATTACCTATCATTTTATATTTTTTACAGCTTATCATTGCCATAAACCATAAAACCATTTAGGGTATGTGTGGTCAGCAATTGGAAATACATGTATGTGTACTAATAACATTTTTCAAAACTGTATTTCGGGTGCCATTCTTTCCTAATGTTGTTCATGTAGTTATAGTTTATGTTTATGAATGATAGCACTTAGCATCGTTAGTTTGGCAACTCAAACCCCTTTTAATCACTTATATAAAGCCTGTTTATTTATGGCATATGAAATCGAAGTATCTGAAATACGGTAATAAGGAACATAATCAAGTTTTAAACATTGACAGACTTTGATATGCTATCATATAATAACCTCCAGTTGCCAAACTTATGGAGGGGGTGTACATGCTTTATAGTATAGGGTCCATGTAAACTGCAACAAGACTCCTATTGTTGCTGCAAATAATTAGCTGTATAATAACAAATTGTAACACCAAATGATTAAGAGCCAGAGTTTCTCAGAGCCTGGTTGCAGTTTGCACACTTCGTATTGTATTTATGTCATAAATTGTTTAGTTGTAGTCTGTAGAACATAACAAGATGTCTATGTTGTATCCCTAGCTGTAGATAGAAGAGTTAAGAAGCCCCAGCAAAGTAACCTGCTTTGTATTTATGCACCAAAACAGAGAAATAGATTTTTAAAATCTCAATATTGGAATCAATTTCACTTTCACTTTATCTTTTAGCATCTCTTTCAACCAGTCAAGTATTCTTGATATTTATGATAAACTCTTTCTGATGTCATAAGTCATCACCTCCATAGTAAGTATTTAATGGAGCTTATTATCATCTTCGACTTCCATGTTATTATGCAGTTGGAGCAATTGAAACCTTGAGAATCAAGATGGCTAATTATTAGAATTTTCAATCTAAATGGGTTCTCATTTGCTTCTACCACCTTGATTATGCTTTGTACAGATGACTCATTATTCATGGAGCAGCATGATCGACAGTAAGTGTTACGCGGTATATGGCATACATTCATGGTTGCGCAGTATTTGTGATACGGGTGAATATGCCATACTCACCTGCGGTGTATGGCATATTCTGCAGGTGAGTATGCGATATTCCGCGGTGAATATGCGATACATTGATTTCAGTGAATACCCCATACTCACCTGCGGAATATGTCATGCTCACTTGTGGAATATGCCATATACCGCAGGTGAATATGACATATACCGCAGGTGAAAACGTGATACAGAAAGCCTTGATTTGATTGGTTGCGAGAATCAACTCTAAATGTAAAACTACACTGGATTACCAATATAGTTAGTGCGTCTAGTACTAATGTATCAATCCTGGGGGTCGTTTCCAAAAATGTCGTAGACTTACGATATCGTAACTTCAATTGTGTTTTCACGACAAGTAAAAAATTTCCGTTTCCAGAAATTTGTCGTAAACCTACGACAAACTACCATGTCGTACACCTGTCGTAGAAAGACAATAGCTATCGTGTGAAACCCACGACACCCCAAGGGGGTGTCGCAAGATTGTCGTAGAGCAAAATTTGAGTTATTTGTGGGGTTTTAATTATCTCATAGATTATGTCACAATTTACGTTGGCTTATGCAACGCGAGCACTTGACAGAAAGCTGAAGAAATTGCGGTTTCATGCCCTCCAAAACATAAGGTAAATGGCCATTTCTATGCATTGAAAAATAGAGAAACTGAAGTGTGTTTGCGCATCATCGTTCGCATGGTTTTCTCTTCATATTATTTCTCATGAAGGTTGATTGGGTTGGGTTAATTTAAAGAGACATAACAATTTTAAAATTGTGTAAATCAAAAATAAACATGTTTTCTCTTCATGGTGTATTGAATAATTATAATTTGAAACATTAACGTTTCTCGCCTCTTTGGCTTGTCTTTTTAACGAATGAAGCAAGGTGAGAAATATTATTGTTTTACCAAAAGTGAGTTCACCATCAATTATTGCATTATTTCCTTTCTTGAGTTGCATATCGACAAACTATCTACATTCACTTTATTCTGAAATCATGTATATTTGTCTCCGGTAAACTGTCTTGCTACCTACACCGGAACACCCTGACAACGGTAAAGTCAGCTACCGTTGTCACAGATGACGGACTTAACCATCGCATATACTCTTTAATCACTTTTTCATTTCACGGGACCTTATCGTCGCTAATTCTGTGAACTTGTGATGGTATATTATATGAAAATCCAAAGGTCCATTTGTCGTATGGCAAGTGATTTTAGACGGTCATATTTTTCACCATGGGCACTTTCTGGCCATCAATACAGTGGTTTTTATTAAAACAATATGTTTTCTTTCAAGTGAAGTCCCCATGATAGTAAAATATCATTCAAACTCTCTGAAAAATTAGGACCCCCACCTTCGCACTTTTTAAAAATGTTAGGCTCATTTTCTAAAAAGAGGATCTTGTTTTTCTCGATTTAAACATATCAAAATATTCTTCTACACTGTATTAACGATTCCTGAAAAGGGGATGTGTATTGAAATCCGTTAAAGTTAAAGACCACATCTCCCACTATAGCCACTATACCGCCTTCCATATCGTCAATTAGAATTGAATTGAAATTGAGAAATGACAATGGGAACTAGACGTATGATGAGGTGAGTGCAAATAACAACAATGAAAAAATTATGATTCTCTACACCCCAGTCACATTTGTCTTACGGCGGCCGTACGTCGACCGCAGATCAATTAAATCAGTGTATTTCTACGGCTAGCGTAGGAAAACTACGCTCACCTTGCGGTCTCCGTACGGCGTATCCAGTTTTTTACAGGCCGCAGAGTCGCCGTAGAAATTATAACTCGGAGTTATAATATTTGTTCATTTCTGCGGTGCCTGTAGAAATCAACTGGCTCAACAAGATTTGTCAATGTTTCACGAACACTTTTCATTTGATATTACATCCTAGCACTATGAATAACTTTTATAAATTGTCCTGATGTGAATAAAATGAAAATAAGTATTATTTATCAACAGAAATTTAAAATTCGCCGTGCGGCTGCCGTGGGAAATGTGACTGCAAAAGTATGAGAGCGCAGTGATTCTACGGCGAGCATAGAAAAGCTACTGACCGCAGAAATGATAGACCGCATGGCGGCCGTAGGAAATGTGACGTGGGTGTTAGTAGTGCCCTGAAACACAGACGGGAGAAACAGGAAGAAGAAACGGGAGCGGGGCTCCCAAATATTCTTTACAGCCGGGCAGTACAGAAGCCTTATTCATAAGCCAACGTAAATATTTCCATTTACGTCCACGTAACTCAATTGTACGCTGGACATAACAACATCTCTCCGTCGTATTAATAAACATATGCGGAAATTGGAGATCTCTACGTTTAACTTTCAGCAATTGACTTACGCAATGATTTCCAAGGAAAAATGGTATATCCCGGACGGACAAGTGAACAATTTACAATGAATATTCAAACATCTGACAAAAAACTTGAAGTCAC